TTTTTTTTTTTTTCTTTGAAAATTTTGGAAAGCTAAGTGTTGGCCTGGGTTATGTCATTTTGAATACAATATTTAATTAAAAATTGTAAAATAAAATTGAGTAAGTAATAAATATCCAATTAACATATAAAATTTATTTTTTTGTTACTAAATGGATTCATTGTTATTTATTTACATCACGAGTCATTCCTTAACAATCATTTTAACTCTGTCATTTTATTTTTTTAGAAAATGAGCTGTGTTGTAATCAGAATAATACACAAACATCGTTGCTTCGATCGAATATATTGTTTGATAATGCTCAACAATTGTTAGAATGCTGTTGATTCACCAGCATTTAGTTCAGTTAATCTCATAGTGAATGGTAAGCAAATTTGTTATATCAATAGCTTATTTAACTATTTTACTGAAGCATTTTTTAATTTTCTCCCTGGCTGTAAATACTTGCTGTGGCTGGTAGTGAAGCACGGTATATTTATGATTTGCTCTCCAAGAACACCTATTAACATGCCTACAAATGGTAATACAACTCACATTGAAATTATTTATAATAACATTTAAATTTTATTGTATACAAATTTTGATTTATTTGTTGCTTTAAATTATTGATAATCAATCACTATGTATCACATTAAATATTATTTTTGTCGTTAAAAATAACATTATTACTTTTTTCAGTTTAGACACCCAAAGAGTGCAAAATGTAGGGAAAATGGTGGATCGGAAGGTAAGTATTGTCAATAAACATCTTGACTGGGTCAAAAAGTAAACTCTCACTTGTGATCGGAAGGTAAGTTTACTTCTCGGTAAAACGACCGAGGGGTGCACTTCTTGGAACCGCGAAATGCGCTTCACTTCTCGATAAGTGGAAAAATGTTAGAAAATATTTTAGAAAGTTGACTTAACTTAACCCGCAAGGTCATTAGTTACATTCCAAAGTTAGTACAAACTATAGCTATCATTTTCCAATCTCTAGCTACCAAGCAGTACATCATGGTAAATGCAGTTTACAACTATGGCTACCAATTTCATATGTGTTAAAGTACAAATTAAATAAAATAAACCATATATGTTTGTATGTCTAAACTGGAAAAAAAAATGTTATTTCTAAAAATAGAAATAATATTTAATGTGATACATAGTGATTGATTGTCTATTATTATTATTATATATATATATATATATATATATATATATATATATATGAACCTAAAAAAGATAACAAAATGAATATTTATGAAAGTTACGAAACGTATTGTAAAACATGTAAAACATGATAGGGATAGAGGAAAAGTTTGTATGTTTTGACAGATGTAAAAAGTATGCAAAGGAATTTGATAAATTTTGGGTTGGAGTGTGGGCTTTCAACTATTTATATTTGTGGGAAAAGAAGTGGTCAAAATACCTACGAGATCCTTATACTATAATGTTTTGTTCAATTTATTCCTTATACCTTTATTTTGTTCAATTTAGTCCCCTATACTTTAAAAAGTTCTGCAATTAAGGACAATAGTTAATAGTGTTAATATTACCGTTAACTTAGGTTATGTGGTGCTGACATCATCATTGTCACATTATGATATTTATATTCCTACTCATATATTACTTTATAAATATTTAAAATTAATTATTTTTACCACCAATATATTAAACTAGTATGTCCAAAATAAATAATTACAACCATGTTCCTAATGAGATTTGGACACTTGATGTTGCATGTAATTATTTATTTTGGACATATTAATGTACTCCATAATATATTAGTGGTAAAAATAATTAATTTTAAATATTTATAAAAGTAATATATGAGTTGGGATAAAAATATCATGATGTGGCAATTATGATGTCATTACCACGTAAGCAAAATTAACAGTAATATTAATACCGCTAACTATTGTTTTTAGTTTCACCACTTTTAAAGTAGAGGGACAAAAAAAAGTAGCCCAATATGCCCAAAATCAATAAGTCCAATGGCCCAAACGGGCTAGCCTGATACCTCGAACCACTTAAGGCTATTCTTTGTTTCTCAAGTGACGTGAAACAAAATATATAGAAAATTTATATGTAAGCTCATCTTTAGTAATTTGTAAATAAAATTTTAATAAAAATAAAATATTTTTTATGAAAATAAATAATAAAAAAAAAACCTTATTATAATTATTGCATTATAGTGTACATAATACATATATTAATTATTTTTAGTAAGAATTTAAAAATGGATGTTTATATTAAATGAATGATGTATAAGTTTATATTTATTAGTGTACTAGTTTTTTTACGCGCTTTGCGCGAATGAGATAATGTCCAATGATTATTTTTAAATAAGTAATTCAAATATATCAATGCAATATTATATAGGAGATTTTTATGCATAAGTAAATAAATGTTGAATTTGTTTTTTTTTTTTTTAAATTGGTAATTTAAAGTATATAAATTCAAGATAATATGTGAGAGATTGATTATAATTGTCACTAAAATAAATGTTTGCAGCTTTGTAATAACGCTAGTCTAAATACTTAGTCTTAAAGTGATAATCTAAATAAATACTACTTTTGGTTTAAATTTCTATAATTCTTCTTAATTGTCTATCATTGTTTTCATCTTCAGTACATGTCCTCTCTTTTTTTTTTTTTTTTTTTTTTTTTTTTTTTTTTTTTTTTATTAGTAGTGTGTCATCTGCAATTAGGTTATTGGTGGCAGCATGGAGGGATTCATCATGCAATGAGATTATGGTGTAGGAAGCTTTAGATTTGCCTTTCTGTGTATATGATTGAGATTTTAGTTGTAATATGAACTCTTTATCTTACAAACACCTATTGATATTTAGTAGTGGTAGTTTTTCCTCTACATGTTTCATGTGTTGTGAGATGTGTGTCGTAGGTTATCATGTGAAAGTATTGAACAAAATATTAATATTTATTATATTTGTATAAAATACTTGGTAAATAATCAAAAGAAGATTAATTAAACATTAAAAAAAAAAAAAACTTAACCTAAATTTGTTTTTTTTTATAAAAAAAAAATAATTCAAGAAAATCAAATGAATTTTAAAGTTCCGGATTTAAAATCATTAATGCTCAACTTTGAATGCTATGTATTTAGTCGGGCTAATTATTTGACCAAAATTTGTGTTAAATTTTATATTATATATATTTTTAATACATTTTAACATATTCATAATATATGTTTAACAATTATGCCAATTCTAATTGGGTTGGGGTTCGAACATAAGACCTTTCTTATATAAATTAATGAGTATGTTAGAAATAATAAATAGTTAACGGAGTATTCCGTTACTAAAGTTTATACTAACGAAATTTAGAGTTATAATATAATAGAGGGTAAATAAGGGAAATCATTAAAAAAAAAATACTAAAATAAAAATAATATGAACCATTCATTTTAAAAAACAACTACCGAAATTTTTTTGTTTCAGTTAAGGGCCTAACATTATTGGCTCTTATTAGTTTTGTAGATTGTAGATAGTTAACGGAATATTTTGTTACTAAAGTTTATACTAACAAAATTTAGAGTTATAATATAATAGAGAGTTTTTACCCATTTTGGTCCCTTGACTATGCTCCATTCTCAATTTTGCATTCCGACTTTCAATTGCACCCAATGTAGTCCCTTGACTTTTAAAAATTACCCCAAATTGGTCCTCCGTTACATTTTGTGTCAAACAGCTGTTAATATAAGGGGTATTTCCGTCCATTAACCCATTTGAGCTCTTGTACTCGGTATGGCCGCGCCGCGTCTTAGCTATGGAGCTTTCCCGGCGTGATCTCTGTCCTTCTGGGTAAAGTCCCGCAGCTTCACACCACTCACACGCCTCAGTTTTTAGGCTTGACGGAATCTTTTGGCCTCTAGCCAAACTCTGATTACGCGGATGATGTTATAGTGGGGGTTCTGGACACCGGAATCTGGCCAGAGAGGCCCAACTTCTCCGACGAGAGGCTATAATCAGTTTCTTCCCGATGGAAGGGTAAATGCCAGGTTGGTCCTGATTTTTCGGAGGCTTCATTTAATAAGAAAATCATCCGCGAATTTCGTTGGATGCGAGGTTGGTCGCGACTTCGATTTCGTTGACCTCCGCCCCCCGTCGATCGAGGCCTTGCATGGGAAATCGGAGTCCACCGTTGGAGTCAGGGATGCTAGGGATGTTGATCACCAACGCCAATTTGTTGATCGCCCTCCTTTTGGGCAGGATTGGTGGCTCGTGGCAGGTGGAGACGTTGCAAAACCAAGGCTCCATACTCTCGGGTTCAAACTGCTCTTTGCCAAGGTTCATCATCTTACTCTATGGTGCAAGGTAAGTCCTTTATTCCTCAAGATTCTGGGATAGTTTCTGGCAGATTGGAGACTCCACGTACTGGTAATGCGATCTTGTCATGGTGTTGGTAATCGGCCGGTTCATGCGAACTTGGCTGGTCATAGCTCCCATAATCCTCTTCGAGCTCCATTACCGATGGTTTCCAATGTCGGAGTCCCGGGTTTGATTTCTGCTCTAGTTCACGAAGGCTTGCCGCCTCAAGTCTTGGTTTCTCATGTGCAAACTTCTGTTGGGCATACATTACCAACCCTTCATTCTACTGATCGGGGTTTGGCGTTGGATGGAGGTGTTAGTAGTGTTAGTACAGTTGCTCCCCATATCACTATCTCTCGGCCAAGGCCAAATCTTGATGTTTCAACCGTGGCTGATGTTAATGTTTTTGATCAAATGAGAAGGGATTTCAATTCCGTTTCGTTGAATGCTAACAGTGGGAGTAGAGGTGTTGTGAATCCATCTTTGCTCCCTACTGATAGATAGCATTCGTCTCCCTCTCATTAATGCCACTGAAGTTTCTTATTCAGCCATGCTAAGTGTTGGGTCTCAAGTCCAAAATATTCAATCCCTTGATCCAACAATAGGGGTTTGTATGTTCAAGAAACTAATTTTGATTCTAATATTGATACTCTGAACGTGTCAACTGTCAATCCTAATGAAAGTGGACATACACTCAATAATGGGCAATGATCCCTACCTTTCTCCGATCAACATTCTGAACCATGGGCAATGATCCCGATCCTTCCCTAGGCTCAGTCACAGCCTCGAAGTGACCATGCAACGCCGCAACCGCCGGCAGTCCACTCCCCATGAACCAGTGAACTCTTCGACTGCCTGGGAAATGGCCGGCAAATCTGCCAAGATGGCAGGAAAATTTCTCTTCTTCGAACACAAATACATGGTCAGCCACACCATTGGTGTTGAACTCCTTGAGAAGGCATTCATCACCTTCAAGCTTTCTGGAATTATGAAAGGGACCAACGAGGATAGATGCGGCTTGGGTGCTCTGTTTCTCACGCTAACAGCATCAACTCCAAGGTCGACGACAGAAAGGGTATCCTTCGAACCTAGAGAACGGGAGATAGAAGGCTCAACCTACCGAGGAGCAGTCGATTTCCCTTTTCCGGCTATGAAAATGACAGAAAAACAGACGGGAAATGGTGATAAGACCAATTGATGGAAAAGGTCGCCGGAGAAAACCTTCGTGAAATCGCCAGGCAATACTAGAAAACCTTCGTGGAGTCTAATTGATGGAAAATGTGACCAAAACAATGAAATGACAAAATTACCCCCAAACTTAACGCCTAATTGATGGAAAAGGTAACAGAGGACCAAATTGGGGTAATTTTTAAAAGTCAAGGGACCACATTGGGTGCAATTAAAAATCAGACTGCTAAATTGAGAATGAGTCATAGTCAAGGGACCAAAATGGGTAAAAACTCTATAATAGAGGTTAAATAAGGGAAATCATTAAAAAAATACTAAAATCAAAATAATATGAACCATTCATTTTAAGAAACAACTACTACCGACATTTTTTTGTTGCAGTTAAGGGCATAACATTATTGGCTCTTATTAGATTTGTAGAAATTGCTAGTTTATCAAAATTGAAATTTCAAAATGTTAATTTGATAATGTCAAAAGTTTTAATTGAACCCGTCCGATAAGCCCGACATCCCAAAGTTATAGGATTAGGGCTAAAAAATTTAAATCTGACCAAAAAGTAAATTGATTAGCCCGAATCAATAAACATGATGGCCCAATAGGACGGACTAACCCGAAATAGAAAACGTTGGCTCAATTGACATCCCTACTAGGGTGTAAACACAAAGTATTAGTAATTTACTTTTTTTTTTATTGCGATAAGACTCGAAGTTATGGCCTTACATTTAAAATAGCAACAATGATGTCATCAAATCACAATGTACTTGGCCTACATTACTTTTAGAATTTCAAATTTTGTTGTTTTATAGAATATGTTTAAATTGGTAATTTTTTTTTTGAAAATTTTATGATGCTTCATTAAAAGTAGGCCGAAATAACATCCGGTGGGAGCAGATCCCAATACATAATTGCAGTTTGCTGATAAGCCGTAGTAGCTAAAGCATGAGCTAAATGGTTCTCTACTCTAGGAATAAAATGAAACGAACAAGACTGAAACGAAGATGCAATAAGCCTGCAAGTGTCAATGACATAGCCTAGATATGTGCACAGCACAATAGTTGGTGTAGTAAGATAGTGATGTAGTGTCAGGCAGTCCGTATAAACCTCAACATTCTGCTCACCCCGATCCTTCAACCATGATAGAGCCTCTTTACATGCGAGCACCTCTGTCATAAGTGGTGAGGAGCATCCTTGTAGTGGTCCACTGAATGCCGAAACATATCCCCCGTCCGTGTCTAGTAGGAGCGTGGTGGGCGGTGCCGTGGGCTGCTGTGGGTGCGCCCGAGTCCTAGCCAGCTTGGCAGCAGCGGCTATTTTGAGGACCACTTCCGGCCGTGGTAATGTTGCTTCCCATACAGCCCTGTTCCTTGCTCTCCATATATTGTAAAGTATTGCTACTGCATAGAATATCCCGTCAGAGTCTAGAACATTTAGAAGTTCATCAAACCAAACATAAAAAATATTTGTGATTATATTTGGAATTGTGAGGTTAGATTTATCCCAAATGTTCCTTGCAAAATCACACAACACCAAAGCATGCATTGTGTCTTCTTGAGATAATCCACACATGGCACATCGTGGATCCACATCCACCCTTTTTATAAACAAGTTTGTAATAGTAGGCAATATATCACTAATGGCTCTCCATAGAAACATTCTCCATTTTGGGGGGATTTTTAATTTCCATAGGGATAACCATTTTGTAAATACCCCATTAGTATGTTGATAATTTCCCATTACTTGCTTATATCCACTTTTAACAGTGTACTCTCCCCTTAGATCCCCATGCCAGTACCAAGTATCATCATACTCCGGGGAGATGTGTATTTTCATAATTTCCGCTACATCACTGGGTTGAAATAAATCAGTTAAGATTGAGGGATCCCACACACCAGTTTGCTGGTCTATCGAACCTGCCACCTTGGCTTCCTTCAACTGTATTGGCATTTCTGTTTGTATCATTGGGTCATGGTCATTTCGTAGCCAAGGATGGGTCCATATGAATGTAGCCTCCCCATTACCAATTCTGCGCCTGACCCCACCACAAATAATACTCTTTGCTGCCATGATGCTCCGCCAGCAGAAACTGGGATTATTTCCCACCTGTGCATCAAAGAAAGATCCTTTCGGAAAATACCGGGCCTTATACACACGTGCTACTAGAGAGTCAGGCTTAGTCAACATTCTCCATGCCTGCTTTCCTAGCATTGCTAGATTAAACGCTCGCAAATCTTTAAATCCTAGCCCACCATATTTCTTTGGTACACATAACTTATCCCATGCCTTCCAGTGTATTCGCCTGTCAGTTCCAGAATCCCACCAGTAACGATTCATCGTCCTTTCTATCGCCGTACACACTGATACAGGTAACAAGAAAACACTCATTGAAAACGTAGGCATATATTGTGCTACAGTTTTCAAAAGAATTTCTTTCCCTGCCTGTGATATCAGTTTTTTGTTCCATGATCCAATCCTTTGACGGATTTTATCTTCCACATACGCAAAAACTGCTTTCTTGCGCCTTCCAATAAAAGAGGGGAGTCCCAAATACTTGCCATAATTCGGTGCCTGTGCCACACCCAAAATCTGAGCCACATTTTGTCTATCCTCATCACTAGTATTTCTGCTATAGCATATGCTTGACTTGTGATAATTTACTGCCTGCCCGGATAAATTCTCATAAACAGATAGACACCTTTTAACCTCAGTTGCTTCCTCCGCCTTGGCCTTAAAAAACAGTAGACTATCATCTGCAAAAAATAAGTGAGAAATCGGGGGGCTCCTCTTGCTACCCTGCAGCCATGTATCGATCCCACATTATGTGCCTGCTGCAACATCAAAGATAGACCCTCTGCACAAATAATAAATAGATATGGAGACAAAGGATCCCCTTGCCTTATTCCACGAGTGGGTATAATAGGATCACATCTTAATCCATTCACCTGAATATTATATGAGACAGAGGTTACACACTTCATAATCAACTCCACCCATCCAGCATGAAATCCCAGTGCCAACATCATCCTTCGTAAGAAGGGCCATTCAACCCGATCATATGCCTTCGCCATGTCTAGTTTTAAGGGCACTCCATCCCCCCACTCCACATTGTTTCCTATTCAAGAAATGCCCCACCTCTGCAGCCAATAGTATATTATCCGTTATCAATCTATCCGGGATAAATGCGCTTTGTGACTCAGATATTACTCCTTCCATTAACGGCTTCATTCTATTAGCCAACATTTTTGCCATAACTCTATAGACCACATTACTGAGGGCTATAGGCCGCAAATCAGTGACATACTCCGGGGTTTTCTTCTTAGGGATTAGAACAATATCAGTCTCAGTCAACCCAGGCGGAAAATCACAGGACTCAACACAATTAATTATAAAGCTCGCCACATCACCCCCAACCACATCCCAAAAATGTTGGTAAAAGCCTGGATTCATTCCATCCGGGCCTGGTGCCTTGTCCGGAAACATCGCAAACATTGCACTCTTAACCTCATCCAGTTCAAATGAATGCAACAAAGACTCATTTTGTGCCTGCGTGATTTGCGGGACAATTCCCTCAAAGAAATCCTCCCCAGTTCCAGGGGTTCCAGCAGAGAAAATACGATTATAATACTGCAGGATAATATTTTTCATAGGCTCCCCCTCAAACCAATCCCCATTATCATTCATCAATCTAGAAATAGTATTCTTCTTTTTTTCGGTGAGAGGCATACCTGTGGAAAAACTTTGTATTAGTGTCTGCCTCCTTAAGCCAGTGTTGCTTGGCTCTCTGTCTCCAGTATGCATCCTCCTGAGCTTCTGTACAGCTTAACAGCTGTTCTAGGCGTTGAAACTCAGCCAGGGAGGCCGGGTCAGTACGCCCCCTCAAACGCTGCTGCTCTCTTGTCAGTTCATTAATCCGTTTTCCGTACTTATGATACCGGTCTCCACCCCATCGTGTTAACCGGGTCCCACAATACTGAATACAGTTCTGTAAACCCTGGCCCCTCCCCTCCTGCCAGGACTGCTCTACCACACTCCTGCACCCCTCATCATGCAACCAGGCCATCTCGAACCGAAAACCCCTCCTGCAAGGCCCAACACCCCCACCGGAGTCCTGAATCCCCAGGAAGAGAGCCGAGTGATCAGACTTCTGAGTTCTCAGGTTCATCACCTTAGCCCCCATCACCATACCCCGCCACTCGTCTGTTACTAGAACTTTATCGAGCCTCTCCTCCATCCAGTTTGATGTCCCCTTCCCCTTCTCCCATGTGTACGGATAACCAACCATAGGCAATTGAGCAAGCCCACAGTCCTCAATAGCTTCCCCAAAGCCGCGTAGGAGGCTATTCGGATGCGGATTTCCCCCTCTCTTCTCATTCTGATATAACAAATCATTAAAATCTCCAATAACAACCCAGGGGAGGTTCGACCTACCCGAGAGCGTTCTCAAAAGATCCCATGACTCAGCACGTCTTGTTCGTTCAGAAAATCCATAATAACCCGTCATTCGCCATTCAGGAAAGCCAGCAATAGTTACCCCAACATCAACATAGTTCGTTGAGTAACTGATTAGCCGAGCCGTACTATTCTTCTTCCACAGTAACGCTATACCACCACTTAACCCATAACTGTTAACATAAAAAAGTCCTTCGTAACCGATTTTAACACGTAATCGCTCTGCATGATCACGTGCCACCTAAGTCTCCATTAGAAATACAAAGTCGGGTTGCTTTCGGGACACCATGTCCACAATCTCCCGAACTGTCCGTGGATTACCCAAGCCACGGCAGTTCCAACTTAACGTACTCATTGAACCGGGCGGGTCTGGGAACCAAAGCCCGCCTGCTGCAAGTTTTTTGGAATCTCAGCCATGACAATATCACCTCTCTCGCACCTACGTCCCTCCCCATCCACCTCCCCCCGGCGCCGCTTGGCTACCGCCACCACCTCCGCCTCAACTACCCCCTCGGTCCGGTTCCCACCTTGCGAACTCCCCCCCACAACTGCTCGGTCAGCTGGCGGTTTCCTCCCCACGGCATGCCGACCCGTCGGCAACAGCCAGCTGCCCCCCACCGGCCTAGGGCCACGGCTCCCTCCTGCCCGTAGCTCCGGGCCATACAAGTACTCCTCCACCGGCATCTTCGAGTCCCTTGCCCCACGACAAAACTGATACAAGTGGCCTAACATCCCGCAGAAATAGCAATATGTATGAAGGCGTTCACACTTAAACATGACCCAGCAACTCGTCTTATCTCGTTTAATGAAATTCATTCGTCTTTTTAAGGGTTTATCAACAGGCAACGAAACCCTAATACGGTGATACGTCTTCTACGGGGCGTTATCGAAATGATCATCATATTTCACAAACGTACCCAAGAAATTTCCAATCTGTTCCAAAATCCTACTAGATGAGTATCCATTCGGCAGTCCATGTAGCTGAACCCATAAATCCACCGTATCCAGCACTACATCAACCGGCATAACTCCGTTAGGGACCTGCTTACACACCAGCGTACTATTATCAAAAGACCAGGGCCCCTCGTTTAGAACTCGTTCCATGTCCGTTACATGATGAAAAACAAACAGGAATCGACCAGGCTCAACCTCCGTTGCCTCAACCCCGCTCACCGGCTGCCACACCGATGCCAGGACCTGACTCATAAATTCCAACCTGACTAGCTTCCGTGTCAAGAACCTTCCCACCACCCCCCAACTCTCCTCCACCTCGCCGCCCCCCTCCTCGGTCCCGTCCCCTTCAACCGGCAGAAACGCCGTGGCTTCCTCCTGGAACACAATATCAGCCCACCTGGCCGTCAAACCAGCCACATCCGGATCAGCCGGCGTCGAAGCCATCTCGCATGCAGAGACGAAACGTCGTTAGTTGTCGTTGTCGGAATCGGAATTCGTCCGTAAAGAATTGTCGAAGAAACGACCGGAATACCTAGAAACCCTAGGTAGAGAGAAAAACCCGTTTAAATTGGTAATTTAAAACTTTAAACTTTCATTTCAAAAAAAAAAAAATTAAAACTTTCATGTCCTTATTGTCCTATGACAGAGCGTTGACATTAATTTTTGAAGCATTGCTTTATCTTCTTTGAGTTGCATTTGTCTTATTTTCTAGGTATTCCTCATATCCTTCTAAAAATGCCTTTTTAAAAAAAAAATTCCTTGCTACTATTTTCTTTGTTATATATTTTTTTTTAATACTACTGACTTTGTTACAATATAGTATCTGTTTGTAGTTACTTTCTCAACTTACTGAAGCATGACCTCTTATTTGGCAGAGTCACTTTGTGCCACTAGACCACAAGGTCATTGGCATATTTTCTTTGTTGTGTTTAGTAGAGTTCTAATTACATTATGTGTTTATTGAAGTTTTTGAGTTTGTACTAGCCGTTTTAACAAAAACAAACTACAATAAAGTTGTTATATATCTATTTATTTTAATGTGATATTTAATTTACTCTTCTTATATATGCAGTTGTGTTATTATTTCACAGTTTTTTTTAAACAAAACTTTATTAAGCAAAGGAATTAAAATGTCTTACAACTGATGGTCCAAAAGTGACCATAACACATACTCAGCCATTGAAATTGGACCTATACTAATATAAAGAAACTAAAATAAAGGATGGACTCAAGCCCTAACAGGCCAAGCCTAAAGAATGAAAGAATAAAATAATGGATCCAAGCCCAACTAATAAGCCAGACCAAAGGAATAATAAATGAAGAAAAATAAATAAATAATAGGGGTGCTGAAATGGAGGCGCAGAATCCCCCTATCGGCGTCGCACCAATTTTCGCAAAAACCAGCAGCATAACGGGTGTTTCTAGGAGAATAGCTATACCTGCGTGCCACCATGTACTAGTGCGCCACCATGCCGCACCACCACAAAGTTGTAATGCCGCGACTCTGCACCACAATGCAACGATGCAATAGTGCCAACACGGCTGCAACGCTTCACGCCCACGTCTCATCAAACTAAATCTATTGGCTGGCCAAAAACCTCCAAGA